TAGTGTTTCAGTGAGAAAGATAGAAAGTGAAGTTGGGAGACAAGATCAAAGTCGGTTCGCTAGTGATTTGGTGAGAAAGGCAGGACGACGAGGTTGACTCGTGTCTCTTTACTGCTGTCAGTTTTATTCTGAGTTGAATAGATGTCTGGTTTATATGGCTTCGCGTAAGCTCCAGAAGCCTATTTTTATTTATTGGCGAGAGCTGATTTTATTGGCTATTCTTTATTTTTATTAATTTGAAATATCTTTGAAACCAGAAGGCTGGACAGAGACTTTGTGTGGTGTGTTTATTTTTGTCACTTGATATTTTGATTTGAAACAGTTAACTTCCGCTTATTCTACAAAACAATTTTAATAATAAAAAATATAATATTCAAATTATATAAATAAATAAGAAAATGTTGGACTTGTGGAAAAATTAATATAGAAATTGATTTAAAATTGTATGAAAAACTAATTCAAAAAATTAGAATGTTACTAACACGGTTTCTTTGAAAAAGAAATCGCCAAAATGAAGCCAGATGGTTTATTTAAAAAAAAAATTAATAAAACTTGATGTGTAAAGATTTAAAAAAAAAAAAAAAGGCCCGAAATTTATGCTATAAAAACCTCCCAAATTGAATCCAGGTGGCGAAATTTTTCATGACAACATTTTATAGAATGGGTTTGATGTTGTGAAACCACCCAAATTTGTATTGAAAACAGGCACAATTTGATTGGATAGTAATTTTCGAGAGCTTAAACAATGGGAATAAGAGAAAAGTATACACTCACTAAGGAAATTGGGTTTGATCCAGTTGGAGTCACGTATATAAGAGGGAGAATTTTGGCTCCAGAAAATCAGCTTCACCCAAGGTAAGTCAATCTTTTCCTATCCCCTTTGACTTTCAACTTTTTAACATTTTGAATTTTTGAATTTCTTTTGTTGATAAGGAATTGATTTATATGAATTATTGCTCCAAAAGAAAAAAATTCTTTGTCCCGTAAGAATAAATAGCTATGATAGAAAAGTTTATTGACCCATTTGTATTTCCGCCGTTATGGGCATTATTATATCCGTGATATAATAACACTGTAGTTTAAGGACAGAATGGAATGGTTGAAAGGAAAAACAAAGTGTTTTTTCTTGTCAGAGAAACTTTTATATCGCTATAGCATACACAAAACTATATATATACATATATACATGTGTCCCACACGAATAACATATCACATATATCTACACAGCAAAACAGCGTGTAAGGAGAAACAAAAAGAAAGGGTCTTACATATATGTCCTTCCCCCACAAGGTCTCTTTTAGGTGGAGACTCGAGCGCTTACGCCCGGGACTAGGACAAAAATTGCCCTCAGCCCCAGCAACCGTCGGTTGCGCTGGCCTTGGTGCGAGCACCGATCCCTCCCTCTGGTGCAATGGAAAGGCACGGCTTCGGGTAGCTTTTCCCAAGGGCTGGGCACCTCTCAGTATAATTTTCTCAGTTGCCTCTCTGTCCTTTGACAGAGGACCCCCTGAGCGCACTCTGCCCAAAGATGAGAGTTGATAAGTCTGACTTAGAAAATCCTCCAAGGAGGAATTTATGCGCTACATATAATATGGAGACACTCCAGTGTCTGGAGAAGCCATATTTAGGACTCCAGATTCAAACAGGCCAGATTCATACGAGGACATATTGCACGAACGAGAAACAGCGAGTCTTGGGTTTTCCCAAATTGAGGACTGCGAACTGGAGTTTCATTCTATATCTGGGAAAGATATATGCACAAAGGGAAACCGCACCATGGACTTATAAGCTGCTGGGGGGGGGGGTTAGCTTCTGCCCGAAACGAACTGAATTTATCTGTCGGTTTCATCACTGTATAGAGTGACGTCACTAAGTTGCTGCCATGCGACCAATGTGACTTATATCCACCAGGGAGGGGGGGAGCACCTTTTTTTATCCTTACAGTCCTTAAGGAAAATATTTGTTTTCTGTTGTTTTCTAAGGGAAAACAGATTGGTATTTTGAAAGTATTGTTAAGCTTCACAGTTTGAGGTGCACAAGGGAAATTTTGTGCAATGCCTATATTGTATTTTGTACACGTATATTGTAAAAGAAATATTTTTGTCACATTAATAAATGTTTGTTTCTCTTCAAATTTCACTCCAATAGTTTTCTTGTCTTTTTCATTAGTGCCTCTAAAATTTGTTGGGACATTTGTCCTGGCTTTCCCACATCAAAGGTTTGAGGTTAAAAAATTGCGACAAGACGCGAATAAAAACAGCAAGATTAGAGCGGACAAACTCTCTCTTTTAGGCGGACGAATAAAGAAAAACTCCTGCTTGGTGTGTAACAATGAAAGAAGAAAGTGTTTATTTACATGTACAAAAAAGGTAAAGGGATAAAAAGACAATTAAGAAAGAAAGAATGGGAGAAGAAAAAGTCCTTTAGAAGAGAAGAGAAAATGTTCATAATAGAAAAAAGGCTTTCTCAAAATATTTCTCTGAGCGCCTAAAAGTTATTTAAGCGAGTATAAGATTGTTAAGCGTTAGAAACACTCACAGTTTTCCTCACAGTTCTTGTAGAGTAGGAAAATATTGGTAGATATAGAAATTCTGCAGTTGAGTGAGTTCGAAGGTCGACGACAGAAGTCTTGTAGGTGAAAGGAGGCAACTTTCAACTGGTCTTTAACAATGGGCCCGACGTTTCTTTTCGACAGCCCCTTAGTAGGTAGTTCTTCTTTGTTTGAAAGTTGTTCCGAAGTTGACTTGTGCTCCCTATCGTCGACCTCATAGACGGTGGTCGATTTCTCAATGCCAAATAGGCAAGATTCTCAAAATTTATGGAGATTTGGGAGGCTCAGAAGAATCGGGGACTTTTCCATCCAAAATCGTTATACAAATTTCCTGGCGCCTCCATTGGTCAGAAAACACATTCTTATCTCTGATAAGAATCACGGTTTTGAGAGCCGATTTTGAAAGTAATGAAAAAGGTTGGAATGAACAATCTGTGAGGTTTCCCCCAGACTTCATGGCACCATGGAAAGAATAATAGTAGTGGAATTCCTTTTTTATATTTTCCAGCTCTCTCGTTAGTCAGAAAATATATTCTTATCTCTGATAAAAATTTGTAGTGAACAAAAACAAGATCTAAATTTAAAATTCAAATGCTAAGCACTGACTCATTCATTTTGTTAGGAATTAAAAAACTCGAATTTACAAACTTTGCTTAACACACACGCAAACAAAAACGAATCCAAAACAAAACTCATAAAATCTCACACCTTGAAGCGAAATGTTTTTCGGCTAATAGAAAACTAGGAAACATTTAAAAACAAAATGCAAATAATCTTCAATACTCAGAAACAATTTTTTACAGACCTTTTCGCGAGCCGACGCGAAGTTTGTTCATCGTCCAATGGAAAGGCCCGAATCATATCCGGGAGTGAATTCCCAAATGACCTTTGCAAGCCCCACAAACAAAATAAAAGACGGCTAAGTTCGCCTGTCACCAGAGAGAAGGAGACGAGCGTATTAATACGACCCTTGACAAACGTTCGTTATTATTATCTCTACCTTTCTCCATCACCTCTTTTATACTTGATAAACGAACGGAGCATTTAAAACTGAGCGATTACTTCAGCCATTCCTACCCTACGATAACGCTCATACATACATCCACACATACGTTCCTGCCTACGTACACATAAACTCATTCTTGTAAGGACTACTACGAACATTTTGACGACCTTGTATCAACCAAAATACATTAATTTTATTTGTAAAGACCTAAATTGATTTATATGTATATAAATTTGTTGTAACCCACTAATGATTTGGGAGCCGGTTTTGAAAGTAAGAAAAAGGTTGGAGTGAGGATTGGAAAAATAGGCTAGAATGTGAACTTAAACTCAAATTAAATTCCAATAAAGTACTTGTGAAGTGAAGGATAGAATTGAAAGCCCGAGTCCCTGCTCTTTTCTTTTAAAGTTTAACAAACGTTTGCTAGTGAATAACCAACTAAAACATAAATGGTCAAATTTAGACTAGTGTATATAAAAAAGAATAAATTTTAAGATACATACAGCAAATCTGGATTTAACTGATGGTCCCTTTCTAACCTTTTTGAAACTGATTATTTAGAGTACTGTCTGAATCATTTTGTTACTTTTTATCACGAGCCACTTTAAGAGTGTGATTAAATAACTTTTTTAATTCTTACCACTGAAAAAAATAACTCATGCGTTTCCTTTCATATGCATGAAAAAAATCTATTTTTTGAAAAAAACATAAACGTGAAATTTTAACATTCTTTTAATGTACAATTTTACAATCGAATATTGACCCAGTGCTCACAGTTTGAAAAAAAAAAAGTTATGTTAGTCTTCAAGAGAGATTATATAACTGTAATTACACAGAAAGCAAATTTCGAATTTAAAAAACAGTTCTGAAGACTTTAGTTAAAGACTTTAAAAAAATAAAGTAGTCTACTTAAAGACTTAAAGTAGATTACTTTATTTTTTGTAAATAATGTTGAAAAATTATACCATGCATCTTCTTAGTGAATAAAAAAAGTAAATAATTTTTCAACTAAATGCACTATACCATTCAGATCACTTATAGAAATTAAATTGGAAAATTATACAATTTGGAAATATTGAAATAAGCAAGCAATATTTATTTTCTTACTGAATTTAAGTCACGTGTTAATACGACGCAGAAGATCAAGGGCAGTTAACTCCCACGCCTCTAATTATCTGCCCTTAGTTTTCGTACCAAGATTTGGAAATCAACTGCTAAAACGACAGAGAAATTTTTCTACCGTAAACGGCTATCAGTTTCAATTGGACCCCTCTTTCCCAAATTTATTTTCTAGTTTACTTTTGCTAGCCGCTAATTAGTGAGATTTTGTTAGTCAACAAATATTTGGAGTGTATACATTGTATATACCCCGAATCGAGAAAGCGACGTGAATAATAATAATAATAATAGTAATAATAATAATTCGTAAGAGCCATCAGCAGCATGGCTGACGACAGGGGCCCGGAGAGTAACAACAAAACCGATGTGGTAGCCGTAGAGGCTGGTTTAGTGAAAGAAAGTAGTCCTGCTGATAATTGTAGCCTGTATCAGACGGAAAGCAACAACAACACTGTGACCCAGACTTGCGGTCCTGTTGGCGGTTTCATTGGAACAACTCCTTCAGGCTGGGCTGATTTTACCAACCAAATGAATTACTTGCAGAATCTTTCAAAGCCCGTCAAGCAGAGGATCAAAGCCCTAAAAAAGCTGCAGTTTGAAACGTCCAAGATCGAAGCTGATTTCTACCGGGAACTGCATCAGATCGAATGCAACTTTGCGCAGAGATATTCTAAATTCTATGAGTTACGAAGAGACATTGTGAACGGTATGCTAGAGCCGACTGACGAAGAATGCGACTGGCCTCACGACGAGTTACTCAATGAAGATCCCAACCCGGGTCAGGGAAACCTCGAGGCTTTAACCGCTGTAGCTAATAACCAGACACCTGTCGCACCAAATAGCCTTACACCACCCGACAAGAAAGAAAGTGATGTAGACGATAAGGCAAACAAGCCTCCTCCGCCTCCTCCTACTCCTATAGATGAAAGTCAGATCAGGGGAATACCGTTCTTTTGGCTGACTGTCATAAAAAATGTAGACATGTTGGCCGAAATGACCCATGAACAAGATGAACCAATCCTTAAGCATCTGACGGACATTCGTTGTACATTGAAAGATAACGACCCGTCTATTTTCACCCTGGAATTTGTATTTGAAGAGAACGAGTATTTTAACAACGCCGTGCTGACTAAAGAATATACGTTGAAAACAGAGCCCGACCGAGAGGAGGCCTTCTCGTATGAAGGCCCCGAAATTGTGCGCTGCAAGGGTTGCACGATTGACTGGAAAGCTGGTAAAAATGTGACGGTCAGGACCACGCGAAAAAAAATGAAGCACAAGGGTAGCGGCAAGACGATGGTGGTCACGAAGACGGAAGAGGCTGATTCTTTTTTCAATTTCTTCAACCCTCCGCCACAACCTGATGATGGTACCGAAATGGACGAATGCTCCGAGGATATTTTGACTGCAGATTTTGAAATCGGTCACTTTATTCGCGAAAGGATTATTCCCCGGGCTGTACTGTACTTCACCGGGGAGGCGGCAGATGAGAGTTATGATCGAGACGACGAACAGCCTGAGGAAGAAGAGGACGACGATGAATATGATGATGATGACGACGATGAGGATGATGATGATCAGGATTACGATCCTTCGGACCCGAGGAATAAACAGGATTGTAAAACACAATAGAGATAGAAAAAGAGAGAGGGGGTGGGGATATAAATCTACAATGGATGGTACCCGAGCAATAAAATACTGGAATTAAAGGACCTGGTGTTCAAATGTCCAGTGTAATTAACCTGCTTGACAGATGATCTTACAAGTCTTTCAAACTAACTAGGATTCTACAATGTATTTAAAAAAAAAAAAAAAAGACATTTTTATATACAACCCCAACGGTAAAAAAAATTCAAATGTCCAGATAAAAAGAATTTTCTTAAGAAAAAAAATACAATTGAAAGAAAACTTTGGATAAGTTTCGTTTTTTATCAAAACATCACTTTAAGGGGTAAAAATATCCACACGCTCAAACAAAAAAAATGAAAAAACAAAAAACAAAACAAAAACTAATAGTTTTAAAAGAAAAATCTTATCCAAGTTTACGGGGAAAAACAGTGTATATAAAAAGTTAAAAACATATGCAAAGACGCACATACAACGTGTTAAAAAAAAAAAAAACAATGTTTAAAACTCGTTCATAAAAAAAGTTAAATATGTTTTCTTCATGAATGTTATGAAGATGTCTTTAACTTTATGGAATGATTTGTCTTGTTTGTTGCATGAGATGATGCTGTTCATTTATTTATTCACCCCCTCCATAATTGCCCATGGCTTTTTTCATTTAGTAAAGCTGTTCGTTTAACTAGGAAGTGGTACTGAAAAGTTCTCGGTCCGACCAAGAAGGGATTCCCCAACCAAATAATAATTATTGTTTGGTCCTTTATTCAGATTCATAAGTGAATCGGATCGAGGCATTTTCAGCACCACCCCCTCGTAGTGTTAAAAAAGTAAAACTTATTTTCCATGATTTTTGAATTTGTAAGAAAAGAAAAAATTAAGAAAAGGAAAGAGATAACATAGCAAAATAATTAAGGAAAAATATACGAAGATGTGCAGAAAAGTTCTCTATCCGACCCAGAAAATTTATTTTAAAAATTGATGTTTGGCCAGTTTGCTTGCAAGTATGTCGAGTCGAGAACTTTTCAGTGCTTCTTTGACATCATTTTTATCAGTTGACTTATTGAAAACTACTGTTTCATTTTGAATAATTAAAAATATGTGTTTAAATTCATACAACCTACAAGACATATATCCACTTTGGTAATGAGAGGCCAGTTTTCGATATTTAATAATTATCAGCATTTAAAACATAGGATTTTATAGTAGGCATTGACATTCTCTCATAGAAATCTCTCATATTTATTTATTTATACATACAAACGTGTTACGTTTGATTATTAATACACACAGTTACACATATAAGTTTTGCATAAACCCCAACAATACACATAATCCCTCTGTGTATATAATGACTTTAATTTATAGATATTTATTACAATTTTTTTAAACAGAACTGAATAATGTCATGTAGTGTGTGGGTTCTACATATAGACAAGTTTCTATAATGTAAAAGCAGGTACTGAAAGGTTTTCAGCTTGGCTAACTTGGGATTCAAAAAAACAAATCCTGATGTTTGGTCATTTCATCAGATTTCAGAAAATGAGTCAGACTGAGAACTTTTCAGCACTTCTTTGTATCTGTGTATATACATATATGTATGTATGTTTGTAGGATGTATAATAGTATCTGAAGCAAAAGTGAAGATTATGAGACAAAGTGGAAAATCTTTAAAAGACACATTTTGCCAGGAGCATCTGCTCTCTCTCTCTGGCTTCCTCAGGTTAGAATACTAACCTCTCAGCAAAACATGTTGTTTATAGATTTTCCACTTTGTCTCATCATCTTCACATATATGTATGTTTTATTGACAACAAATGTTGCTAGTGATCTGGTCATATTTCACATCTACTATGTATATATTGTATTGACAGTATCTGATATTATTGAATCTTGTCATACCCCCCCAATGCTACATATTATTTTGTAAATGTGTGCAATAGCAACTGTTCATAACACATGCACATTCTGTTATAAATAATATCTCTTTAAAAAAAATGGATAACATTAAAAAAATGTAGAAAGGTGCTGGCACCATATTGTAACCTGGAATCTCAAAAATGAAGAAAATGGCTGATATGGAAGCTTTAATATTTGATTTTGTTTAAGAGCTAAGCAATCAAGAAAACTAAGGGTTATGCATTTACTATCTATGTAACCCCTGGATTTTGTTAGTAACATGATTTTTTTTTTTTTAACACTTCTGGCATGTGATTGCTATTTGCAAAATATACTAAACTCTCGAATGGCTCAAACCATGATCTCTGGGTCGCATTAGCAGACTTAAAAAAATTCATCTCAAAGGAGCAAAATTTAAAAGAAATGTTTATTTTAAACCAACATCAATAAGTTGAACATGAACTGTTATAGAGGTGTTTTTTTTTTTTTTTTTTTTTTTTTAAAGTCATGTACAACTGTTTAAACGGTTGGGTTTTGGAAGCCACAAAGAAAGGAAAAAAGGAATACCTAATATGAATTTAATACTAAAAAGAAAGAAGCCTCATACCAATGAAATTTGATGATTTATTTTACACTTTAACTGATAAAATTTAATTTTGGCTTAACTCCATCCCAATTTGCAGGTATGATCATGCTCCTTGCCCCTATTTCACATCATTGCTGCTACCCAAACTTAATGTAACTGGACATTACTGAGCACCAGATAGTTAATTCCATGATTTTATTATCGGGTGGGACCATATATACCCTGCTTCCCCACCCAACATTCTCTCTTTACCCAACTTCCAAAAGCCTAAACCCCATCTTGTTTAACTGTTTGTTTCTTTTTCCTCTTTCTCCAAGCAACATTTGATAACATTACCATAACCAGATCAATCTGCTAATTACAACAGCACTTTAAAAAAAAAGAAAAAAATAATGGAAGCATTCTCTTTATTGTTATTTCATATTTTGTGCATGTTTTAATGTTCCTTTGCTCTGAAATTATATTGCTGTATACAGATTTATAGATTTCTCCAAAAGGTACGAGAAGAACACACGCACAGATTTCTTAGTAAGCTGACTATACATCACTTGAATTATTAAGCCTATGATGATAAAATCAATAAGAATTATTCATAAAAGCATGTACCTCATGGTTAAAAATTCTGAACTGCTTTTCATATAAAATTTTATACAAAAGAAATAATAGTTTTAGTGTTTTAAGCTTATGCATTTATGAACGTTATGCCTTTTTTATCCATTCAATTATAATAGAAATAGCTGCATTAATTACAAAAATAAAATGACATTAAAAAAACTCAGACTTTTGGCTCTGAAAAAGTAATTATTCCCAATAAATGTGAACTATTTATAAATGGAATAAAAACAAGGTCCCAACAGTAGGCTACAATACAAAAACTATTTCTGGGTCCTAGATCAAAATGTAGCAACAATTTAAAATAAAATTTCCTGCTTAAAATATATCAGTTTATTTACATAGAAAATTTTCTACACAATATTAGATTTAACCAAATTTCAAATATTTAACAGATAAAATACACGCGTGTGCATGTGTGCAATGAACTTGACATTCCTTATGGAAAAAAAGCAAAATAGAAATATATCATCATCATCTGTATGCATATAGGTGTACACGTAGAGCTGATTTTACCCGAGTCAAAAGTTTATTTTACAACCCGGTGAGTCAGAGTTTAGAATTTCATGGGTAATTCACAACCCATGTAGAATTCTAACAAAAACCTTCACTTTCATGAAGGTGAGACTGGAAAAATTACTTATGCCACTTTTGGAAAAACTTATTTCTGATATAAGTAATCCATGTGCTTTTCTTTATGTATAGTTTTGTATGTGTGTGTAAAAGTTTTGTTTGTTGTACACTCATTTTTGTTTTTATTATCTATGTACCAGTCCTGATATATCTATCAAAATATGTATTTGTTTACTGTATGAAATTTTGTTTGTAAAAAATGTAAGTATATACATAGTTTATACATTATTGTATGTAAGCATATGAGCTTGGTTCTTTTTATGTTTGTCTATTTATTGATATGTGCATATATAAATGTTTTTATTTATTTATTTATTTTGCATTTGGATCAGTTCCTTGTTTCTGTTATTTTGTATAGCCTGGTTTTTGTGCATAAAACTTCAAATATTTTTTCTTGCCATGTTCTTCTTCTTTGGACACCCAAGACTTAAAGCCATTGCATATAAATTAGACAAATATGATAAGCAATCTTGCATCTAAGGCAAAATTGACTATCCAAACTAATAATTAATATAGTGAATCCAAAAATCTTTTGAATTATTTATAAAAGGGAATTTGTTACTTATGACTATAAACATTATTTTAGTAGGTATACGTGTAATAGTTACTATGTATGTCCCATATGAGTAGACATCTCTGATTTTTAACAAGCAGTGAAATTAACATCTGACAGCCTTGATCATCAAAATTTTTATTAAAGAAAATGTAACACATGGCAGGAATTGAAACTGCATTCCCCATTTTTTGTGGGGAAACCACCACTTAGCCAAGGGATATCATTACAGCCACAGAAGTCCTTACAGCCACAGAGGTCCTTACAGCAAGCAAGGCAAATCTCAATTACTTTTTCAAAAGAAATGCACATCTCATTGGGACTTTTTAGTATACTATATTTGCCAACTTGTACTTTCATGTTTCACCATTTGTAAATAAACAGAGAATTGGTTATTTGCTTGTGTCATCTGGTTAAACGTTCAATTTTTAGTACTACTACTGTCCCATAATTGTTATTACATTTGCATGCATATTTCAGACACTAAATGTATGAACTATTATGGAACAGAATATAAAACTCCATTCATGAAATTGAAATGGCACACTCAATAAGGAAAATAATGTTTTCTTTTTTCTTCAGGCAATAAATTACAAAAAAAATGAGACAACATATTGAAACATCCTTTGCTTCACATTAACATATTTAAAAAGAACCTAAAAATATTTACAATGTCTGTCCCATAATAGTAGTTACATTCATTGTATAAAATATGTATGAAAGTGTCTC